AGTGGTAACAGTCAGTGCAAGTAACTGACTGCTGTGACTGCTGACACATAAGTACACACACACACACCAGACATCACCACACTCACCCTCAGTATTCATCTCTTTGACCCCATCATCATCACCTCATCAGTTTATCAGTTTGTACATTACTACAAAATCAGTACATTATCATCATCACTTCATCTGTGAGCAGTCGCTTTCATCATGAATTGTCTCTCTATCTCTTTCTCCTTTTCTTCTTTTCTTTTCACTCGTTAGTCACTGTACTTCTGCCTGTTTGTCACTACTTGATCGAGTAAATAATAAAAGCACGCTTACACAAGCACCGCAGTGTCATTTGCCGATTGAATTTCCATTGTCCCGTCTGTTCACTCAGCTCCCGACAAAAAAAAGTGTCACTCACCTTTCAATCAGTGTACAGCGAACTTTGCGTCACTTAGCAAGTCTCCCTTTTCTCCCTGTTCACCGACGACTGTCCCCCGAACTGAAACATGTTGCCCAAGTCAGCTTCCTTGGTGCTAGCCGTCGTCCTTTCCAGTGCCTGCCTGCTGATGGTTCAAGAAGTGAAGACCAAGAGCATTAGCGAGAGCATTGACATTGATGACTTTGGCGATGGCGACTGCGACAACCGCCGACTTGCTTCCGGAACCGACAAACCAGCCGACGTTGTGACCTCCTCACCTGATGACTACCACCTGATGATGCAGGATCTTCAAGGGCAGGATCTCTCTCAACAGAACGAAGCTCTAAAAGTCCTGAATGACCTAGTTTTCAATGAATCGTCCAAGGAAAAAGAAGACCTCTTCAAAATGGTTGCAGAGAAAAACAAGACTTACACCTTTTACATCCCAGCTCAGCACTTCTTCGGCTCGGACGTCCTTTTCTACTCCTCTGTCTGCGCCATTTTGTTTCTGGTTGTTAATTTTGTCCGCAACTATTACATACGCGGCCAGAGCAAAGAGCTCGCCATCGCTAGAAGTATTGGCTACTATTGAACACTCGGTTATTTCAGATGGGAAGTTTCCATTTTTTATCAGTCACACATTCTTCCAGAGCATGCCATCATCAGTAAGCTGATTTTTAATTAACCGCTGTGCTTTTATATTATTAAAAAATCTTGATCTCGATTTAATTGCCTATAAACTCGATGTTCATTGAAGTTGGCAAACTATAAATTGTAATGAGTTTCTCCTCTCCAGTTCTCATCTGCTTCAAGACATTGGGCACATGCAAATGCACTGGCACAATCCTAGATGACGTTACTGTTGCTGAGATTGGCAGATTGGCAGCAGATTTGTGTCGACAAATGTGCGTTTGGCACTGCCAACAGAGAGAGAAAGACGACAACAGCAACAACTCTGACGATTGGAAATTGGATTGTAAATTGTGGATTGATTTGCTCTCGTGTAACCCAGTGAGAAGATACCGAAGTGAACACACACATCTTGCAGCCATCATTACCTCTTGATGATCCACACTTCATTGGCTCGGTGGCTGTGATTTCCTTTCCTCAAACATTTTGGGTGGTGCTAGCAACAGCGGGAACGTGCTTTCAGGTACTACTGTCAGAGTGCACTTTTTGGTGCACTTCTTCTTGCACCATTGAGCGAGCGATGTCAACCGACGCCTGAATGACAGCCAAAGTCATCAACTTCTCAACACGGCTCATTTGTGTTTGGCTGTGACGTTTTTCTTCTTTTCCGAAGTACTAACATTGTGTTCCACTTTGCAGAATGTCAAAAAACATCATCATCGACACGGGCAATGTCTTCAGTCCGGATATTGTTCAGCGGCTGCTGCTGCGAAATCCCAATGAAGAGGTGTGTTTACTTTACTTAGGTGCTTAAGACAAGTAATTAATTTTTGTTTGTTTGTTTGCTTTCTTTGCAGGTCATACAAGGCATCGAGAACATCCTGACGGCGTACTGTGGGAACAAATGCGAAGCGACTGTTGTGAAAGTGCTGGACAAGGACGTTACCTACGTCGCCTCCGGCGTGGACCTGTCTCATGATCCGAAAAAGCTGGGACTCTCCATAAAGCTCTTCACGTACCCGGAAACGTACCAGTCGGAGGATGATGAGACCAAGCAGGCGCTGATCAATGAGGCCATCACCTCCATTGTTCAGCTGCTCAATGTCAACCGAATCGACGACCTGACGCTGTCCATCCAGGACAGCCAAGTTGATCGGGTAGTTCCGGTGCTGAAGACCTTTTGGAGTGTGCTAGAGAACTACAAGACCTCTGGAACGATACACGAGCTGAGCACCTCTGACCTGAGTCGTGATCAACTACGTGAACTATTTCAAGCTGCCAAAGTAAAGCCCACTTCAAGTAATATCAACCTCGACGCGTGCTGTGATATTCCCGACGAACTGACTGCCTTTTCGAAGGAGTTCGACTTTAAGCTGTACACCCACAACGACCCACTGGGTAAGTGACCAAACTGGAGCTAACTGAGCTTATCAGTGTGTAGGAAGTGTATAAATCAATCGAGTACTGATGATGTTATTGTTGTTGTTGACATTTTTAAAGCTGACTTTGCGCCACCTGATCGAATTCGCAGCCTTTTTGACTCGCTGAAAGGCGGCGACAAGAGCTGCAAACTGCTGGAGCAGATCTGTCCCTCTGGAGGTGGGAAGTCTGCCATCACTCGCCGGTGGATCGCCCGCTACACGCTGATCCTCTCCGGCCAGGGCGTCCTCATCTCCAAGGGCTACCTGGTCTCTCTATCTATTGCCGACCAGTGAACTGCGTGAACTGCTTGCTAAAAGCACTACTTCTTCTGCAGTGACCAACTCTTCTACCTACTCAAACCTACACAATTGCAATATCTGTTTTTACCTTCTCCTCCTTCTCCTAACAAAACGCCCCCTTCAGTGTTCCCTAATTTACATTCTTTAACAGTTTTATATTTTAGTTTTTGTTTAAATTTTTTATACGCAGGTCCCATCAGGTTTTCCCATTTTAACTACTGCCTTTTCAAAAGCGTTTACCTTACCTACCTTGTTACTCAGTTATTTTTATCTTGTCTGTACAGGCAACCATTTTCCCATCTTTCCCTCCTGAAAAATTGTTATAATTTTTATTCGAGAACTCTATGTTAGTTCCTGTTAGTTACATTGAGAACAGTTTCCTTTAACTCTTTACTGTAAGCACCGAGTAGTCGAAACACGGCACTTCATTGCCTGCAAAGGGAAATGAAGCCACCCACTCNTCCTCCTGAAAAATTGTTATAATCTTTATTCGAGAACGATGTTAGTTCCTGTTAATTACATTGAGAACAGTTTCCCCTAACTCTTTACTGTAAGCACCGAGTAATCGAAACACGGCACTTCATTGCCTGCAAAGGGAAATGAAGCCACCCACTCCTGAATTGCCTCCTTCCACCAGATTTTGCCAATCTGCTCGCTGGTAATGTTGCCCGTGCGCAGGCTGCACTTGGCAATGTAGAAGTTGGCCTTTTGAGGCTCATCCAGGCAGTCATCAGCATCGGTGGCAGATGACGTTGATGATGATGATGACGACGACGAGAGTTTTGTGAGCAGCAGCAGAAAATTATTGCTCCTTGGTGTGCATCGCCTCTTTTTGCTGTTGCTTTCAACGGCCACCTCGTTGAAGTCGTTTCCTGTTTGAGGTTTTTGCCTTCTTCTCAGCGGTCCTGTGAAGCTGCTAATTCGCTCTACGCCTTCGTACAGGTTTCCACGCCAATTGCGGCTCCAATCGGTGGTGTCATCTTTTGTGGGTTTGCTGGTGGTGGTGGTGCTGCCTGAGCTGTTATCGACTGCTGATCGCCGAACCCTTCGCTTTCTGCTGCCCCAAATTTGATCGCTGGAGAGAAAGAGGTCCACTGACCGGCTGTTCAGTTCGCCCTTGCCATCGAGCAGGAAGTTGGCGGCGGCGGCGGAGGTTGTGGTGATATTGTTGATCACCTTTGGTTTGGCAAGAACTGCCGAAGTAGTGGGCAGGCCGAACTTGTTCCCTCCAAAGAGAACGTTCTCCGGCAGCCTGGTCACCGGTTTCTTCAGCTCGATCCACTGGTAGGCCCGGTCGCCGCT